TCGACAAGTGAAATCGGTTGGAAGAGAGTGGGAGAGAAGAGGAAAATAAGAGTGAAACCTGGAATCTGTGTTAGGCAGAAACCTGCCAGGAAAGGAAAACACAGATGCTTTCTGTGTCTACTGGGCCATCCGAAAGTGTGAAGGTTGCACGCTGCTCGGTGTGTGTCTGTGTGTGTGTGTGTGTGTAGTGGGGACTTCAAATGTTTGTGGAGAAGCTAAATCAGAGATAGTGGAATTCTTCTACCAACTTTGTGAAGCCCCTCGTCTGCACCTGTGCACCTCCTGAGGGTCGCACTTGGGGCTGCCACATCTTCATCTTTAAGCGCTTCTTCAGTGCCTTTCCCTCCCCATCGGTCCTGAGAGCTCTGTGCTAGGCCCCACCCAGGGCGACCGCTGGTTCCTGAACAGTCTTCAGTACAGTGGGCTACTTTCACACTGCGCTCCACGCATTACCTGATGAGTTTTTCAAAAGCTTCCTTTTCCTTCCGCAAAGCAGTGAGATAGCGTTGCTCCTCGGTCGAGCCTCCGTATATGAGAAAATAAACCCTGCAATTTAAGACAGAACACTTTTAGGAAGCGGACAAAGAATCTTTAATCTCTGAAGGGGATGGCAGAGCATTTGAAATCAGCACCCAAGAGTGCTCAAATAGTAAATATTTGACTAAGAGGAAAAAGGGATTCCATTAAACACATACTTACTCAGACTTAAACCCCACCTGTTAAAGGTCTCATGACATTCTTTTTTCTTCCCTTACGCCAAGAGGAGGAAGAGTTTGGGTAAACACTGAGATACAGCTAGAGGGATAGAGCTATTTTCCCCCTCATAACTATAAACGAATAATAAAAAAAAGGAATTGAAGAGCCTTCTCTTTTTCCAACGTTTCTTTGCACTTCTGCCAAACAGTCATTTAAAAGTTGGAGAGCAGTTCTAAAAGCTAGCTTATGAAAGCTCATGTTCATGAAAAATAAACAAATCAAATCTATATGACCTTTCTCTTCCCATGTGACTTCCCAGTTCTTTTTTAATTCATGTCTGAACAAAGCAGGCTTCCCGTTTTACATAAGCGCATGGGCATGTGGGCTGCGTCAGGCTTCTAGAGAGTCTGCTGGCAGTCTTGGCCTTAGAAAAGGCCTGCTTCGTCTGTCTTGCTTGGGCTGAGGGCTGTCCTCTGCCCCTCTCTTCCCCTCTGACCAGCCACATTTTCCTTTTTAAGTCCTCCACAGTCCTTTCAACCTCCACCTTTCTAGAATATGCAGTGAAACTGTGGGAGCCGGAATGCAACGGGCCTGACTTGCTTATCTGGGTCTCGCCAAGAGTCTACCTTTTAACAGGGGGCAGTCTTACCACTTTTCTATGTTTCCTTCTCGGATAAATGTCTGCCTGACTCAGGTTCTGGCTTTTCAGGTTTTACTATGTGGGGGAGAAAAGCCAGGCGATCAGACTAGAGGTCTCATTCATTCTCCCATGAATGTACTGGGTAACCAAGGACAGGCCACTTACTATTGCTGGAACTCAATTTCTCACCAAGAGTGAGAGGCTGTGCTGGTTCTGAGCTCTGGTGGCATAAAGGTTATGCACTGGGGCTGCTAATTGCAAGGTCAGCAGTTTGAAACCACCAGCCACTTCTAAGGAGAAACTCAGAAACCCTGTCCTATAGGGTTGCTATAAGTCAGCATTGACTTGATGTCCGTGAATTGGATTTTTGGGTAAGCTACCTGCAAATAGCTAGGCGTGAAAAATTTATCAGCCTCCAATTATTTTCCCAGGTTCGTCACAGTTCGTCATCCAGTGTGATTTCAGACCCACCTCCCCCTTCAATCCTACTTTGAAAGCCTGCATCAGTTACATGGCTAAAGGGTTCTTTTGGCTCTGTGTTTGTGGTTCAGACTGAGTTCAGGATATAATTTTGCTGTTTACTTCTCAGATAATTGGAGAGTCGGAACATGATATTCTTTGGGAAGCGCCATTTTCCATCTGATATTTTTGTTGGGTTGCTCATATATATATATTTCTTGAAACTTGAAAAACAAAACAAAACAAAAATACACTCCAAAAAACAAAACCAACCAACCTTGGGGCAGCAATTCCCTAAATACTTCAGTTTTATGTCAAAGTAAGTTTGAGTTACTTCTTAAAACTGTTAAGATGTTTTAGAAGACTGCATTCATTTACCAGGGCACAACTTTCGGGAGACCTGGAATATTATCGATGTACTAGACGTTGCAATGCCCCATCCCAGAAGTTGCAAGCCAATCATCCTGATCACAACAGAGAACAAACCATGCGAACCCGAGCAGGCCCCTTGTGTTTGCTGGTTCTGTTACATGCAATATTTGACATCCTTTCTGTGCCAACTTCCCAGATTCACCAGGAAGCAAAGTAAGTTCTCAGGAAACGTCATCATATCACAGCCCTGGAATACTGAGGATGAGGACACCCGTGCCCCCTGACAGCTTCTAGGAAGCCCGAAGAACTGGAAAGGGGCCCCTTAAGACCAGTCAGCTGTGTTGATGACTTGCCTCAGAGGCTTCCCAGGCCTGCTGGCCCTGTAGATTTCCAGCTGGCGAACGAAGGTCAGATCGGCATCATACAGTACCACGTATCTGGGTTCCACTTCATGGAGTACCCTCGTCAGGGCATACGGGTCACTACACCCTAGAAGCGGGTGGAGGATCGTGAGCGGTTCTTTAAGAATTCCATAGGCAGCATCTGAGGACACATTGGCGTCACATTCTTCGTGCTTAATTTCCTCTGAGCTGCTCTCTGGGCTACTGCTTCTTGCTCTCTGATCATCGTCCTCTGCCTCCCCTTGGCCTTCCAGTTCTTCAGGGTGCCCCATCATCTGGGGTAAAGTCAGCCTTTGCTTTTGCCTTTTGAGAGGCCTTCCTTTGCCAGAAGCCCTCTCCAGACTTGGGTGGCCTTTGGGTCTTTTGTTAGCTCTCATCGCTCTCCTTGAGCGGTCCTCCTTCCTGAATTTCATCCACACTTCTTCAGCCTTGCTGTCCTTTTCAAAGGTTTTCCTGTAGAGCGCCAATAAAAACGCCTCTGCTCCACTGGTGATGTATTCTCGCAGCTGGATACACGTCCGGTCATCACTCGCACAAATCAGCACTTGACCTAAAATCAGAAAACCATGTGCTGTGACTATGACCTCACTTGCCTATTACCGTATATACTGGAGTATAAGCTGCCCAGAATACCAGCCGAGGCACCACATTTTACCACAAAAACTGCATAAAAAACGTGCCGGAAAACTCGGCTTATCCACAAGTATATACAGTACCTCCTTCTCACATGCCCCCTCAACCCTCCCCATGAGGAAGATACACTACCCCCTAAAGGACTTACAAATTGCTGGTATAGCACTCCTCTGGCAGAGTTACTCAAATCTCCTGAGTAAAGTTAAAGCCAAAAATCTTTAGTCTTATGAAAATGTGGGGGTAGGTCAAAAAATGTTGCCACTCGGTTTTTGGTGTGTACACACACGGGGCGTTTCCCATGCGAAGGGTGTCTGCGTTTGTCCTTTGTAGTCAGTGGCGGGCTGCGGAGCAGCTCTGCCTAAGAGGGAGCCCTCGCAGACAAGGCCCCACCGAAACAGCGGTCCCCAGCAGAGCTGGCAGGCCCCTAAAACCAAGGCAGTGAAGTCAGCTTGAAAGGTGATGGCAACTGCTTTAGGGATTCCAAAGAGAGCATCGTGATAGATTTTCTCAAAAGATATTATTATTAGCTTTTACTAGGGGCTTATTAGCAAGAAGTTTTATGAGAGTTAAAAGCTGCACAGGCGAGGAAATAGCCAAGAAAAGTTGCGTTGTGGAATTTGTTTCCATCAACACAACGCATCTGCTCATTCTTCAAGGGTAGCAAAGATTGTCCAATGGAAACGTCAGTGGGAACCCCCACCCCCCATGCCTGATTTTGCCCTTTCAGACTTTTTTTGTTCCCAAACCCAAAGAACAGAGAAAAGGAGCATATTTTTGACTTGGTTTAAGTCAAAGGATGCAAAATTTTTCAGGGAGAGGTTAGAGAGATGCTTTGAAAGCATACAGACCTACAGGGAAAATATCCCCCCAAACAATAGCTTCACATTTTGATTATTTTGCTTTAACAGCAATTTCTATGAGTTCATAGCAATATTTTTTGACTTGCCCTTGGATAGCCATGGTGTAATGGAGGTTTTAAAAAAGCTCTTTTTTGATTAACAATTTTCTAGAGGATCATATACACCAAAATAAACTCTAAATGGGTTATAGGGTCAAATGTTAAACCTTATATCATTTTTAAAAGTAGAAAAACGATTCTTCATCTCTTTAGATGTAAATTCCTTACTAAGCTTAAAAGCAACATTTAAAAAAATCTGAATGATCAATTTGAGTCTCTGAGAATGAAAACCTCTGCACTAAGAAAACCAAAGACATAGTGCTGCCAAAGACGGCTGCCGTTTTGAGTGCACGGTTCCTGAGATCAGGAGCGGTCTGGGGAGAGATGCGTAGAACTGAGGAAGGCTGCTTGACTTGAATGCGTCTTTCAGAGACTCACAATTCTGCAGTTCAGCCAGCTCCATTGGGTAAATTGTATCCTCATTTTCAATGTCAATAGGAAATGGGTTATGAAAAAGCTGTATATCCTGTCCATGGAGATGAAGCTCTTTAAATCTTGTCGTTTTACTACAAGCACTGTGTAGTAAATCGCTGAAGTGGGACTCTGTTATGAAAATTGTGGTATCTTGTGTTAACTTCATTAGAGCTAATGCACTAACCCACAGACAATTTCAGGAATTTCTGTCTGAGCTAAATGTTGCCAATGAAGATGTTCTGTACCACACAGAAGTCCATTGGCTGAGTCGAGGGAGAGTTTTGAAACATTTCTATGACTTACTTCCACAGATTACAGCTTTTCTGCTTTCAAAAAACAAAGAAGTACCACCAGAGCTCAATGATGCAGAATGGAAATGGCACCTTGCCTTTCTGATAGATGTAACAGAGCTAGTCAACAGTTTCAACGTGCAACTTCAAGGAGAGGGGAAGCTCATCTGTGATATGCAATCACAAGTGAAAGCATTTGAAGTAAAATTAGGCCTCCTTATCAAACAAGTGAAGGAGGAAAGTTTCTGCCATCTCCCCACAACTCAAAATCTGTTAGCGGAAAAACCACTGGTTGCATTCCCAAACAAAACGTGTGGATTCACTGGAAAAGTTGCAAAAGGAGTTCCAATTTAGATTTAAAGAGCTTCATCTCCATGAACAGCACATACAGCTTTTCCATAACCCAGTTTGTATTGACATTGAAAATGTGGATACAATTTACCAAATGGAGCTGGCTGAACTGCAGAATTGTGACTCTCTGAAAGATGCATTCAAGTCAAGCAGCCTTCCTCATTTCTATGCATCTCTCCCCTCTGAGACAGATCCTAATCTCAGGTACCAGGCACTCAAAATGGCAACCATCTTTGGCAGCACTTATGTCTGTGAACAGACTTTTTCCAGAATGAAACATCTGAAATCTCCAACCAGATGTAGACTAACTGATATGCACTCTTGCATTGCTTGTTACGACTAGCAGTGACAAATATGGAACCGGACATTGACGATCTCATTAGCAAAAGGCAGGCCCATAGTTCCCATTGAAATACTGGTAAGCTTGTTGATTTAACTTTACTTGTTCTTCATTTTAAATATTGTATTTGTTCCCGTGTTGTTGTTTGTTACTTCAAAATAAGATATGTGCAGTGTGCATAGGAATTTGTTCATGGTTTTTAAAAAAACTATAGTCCGGCCCTCCAACGGTCTGAGGGACAGTGAACTGGCCCCTGTTTAAAAAGTTTGAGGACCCCTGCTTTAGATTAATAGTTGAAGTTTAGTCTATGGTGCTAGTTTCCTGGCATAACCATGCTGAAACAGAACAGCCTTACGATCCAGATCATTTCTCTAGGGCTAGCTCAATGTCACTCCACAGAAGAGCTTAGACTTCTTGGGAGAGAACTTGCTAAGAATATAGAGACCCATTAACTTTCTCCTTAGGGATTCTAGATTTAACGCCTGGTCAATCTATATTTATATATGGGAATTAGCTACATCTTTTAACAGAGGTCTTGAGAAACCAACCCGTAAAAACACCCCCATTTTCATGAATGGTCAATGGTTCCACTGGGAGACAATCGGTCTCAAGGTTCACCTGGTGCTGTGCTTCTACATTTATAAACATTGTAAACAGAGTGCTCGTCAAAATATTCATGGAGAAATTTTGAAAGCAAGTATTATCTCCCTTTTTCTTACCTGGACCACCAAGTGCTTCACTCTCCTTATTTTCTGCCTCAATTTCTTTCAGTACTTCTGATAGGGCTTCCCACTTAGGGTTGCTTTCAAGAACCAGCTCCTTTTTTGTTTCTATGTAAAAATAAGAGCGAATCTCATTTGATTACAATTTCTAATGGCTTTCTAGAAAAGCAACAGAAAACTTAAGATTCATTCCATAATCCTATTCCATTCCTATTCTTCATAATTCTGGGTAAGATCTTCAACCTTGAGAAAGGCCTACTTATGAATTTAATGAAAAAATATTAATGTAAGTTTTGTAATGTTTCAATATTCACTAAGACATTATGTACAGTAACCAATATGAAGATTCTGTGTTATAACTCCTATATAGTCTACTACAGAAAATTTTGTAGAATCTGTACTTATTTCTGAAATTCATACATTTTTCCTTCTGAACATCAATAGAAGTAGACAACAATCAAATTTTATATTTCTATAAGTCCTCAAATATAGCATTTAATTTGAAACAATGCATTTATTTTGAAGTAAATCTTTGAACTAGGCAGGAAAGAAGTAACCCAATCTGACTCTAGTTGAATTAACCCTAGTTTGCCTTTGCAAACTAGCAATATTTATAATACCTTCTATGGTGCTGAAATACAATTCACATTATTTATTATGTTCTTTAAGCCAGAAGAAGACTGGGCTTTCTACTCCCATAAATAGCTCATCTCGGAAAACCACAGTGAGATCGCTGTGAGTCAGCGTGGTCTCAGTTGCAGTGAGTTAAGTTTATGTTCTTTAAAAGTTGAGAGACACTAAAATTTTTCACTAAGACTTTAAATGGCAAGAGTAGAAATTATTCTCAAGTTGAAAAATAAAAGTCAAACTACAGTTGTTACGTAGCAGTAAAAATATTGCTTACGTTCATTACCTGGAATTCCCTAGCAGTGGGTTCTGAGACGCCGTGCTGAATACTTTTTACATTGCATATGTTACATGTAACATACATACATACATACATACATACATACATACATACATACATACATTTTACACACTAAACAAGCGCAAACTCACTGCCATCAAGTTGTTTCCGACTCATAGCAACCCTATTGCACAGAGTAGAACTGCCCCTGTGGGTTTCCCAGATGGTAACTCTTTGTGAGAGCAGAAAGCCCCCTCTTTCTTTCATGCAGTGACCGGCAGGCTTCAAGTGCTGACCTGTGGTGAGCATAACAATGCACAGGCCGCTCTGCCCCCAGGACCCCTTTTGATGAAGGCATCCGTTTTCCACATGGAAGAGGAAATCTGCACTTGCTAAGCATTTCTATATCAAATATGGAAACACAAGACAAGATTAAAACAACAAAAGCCTGAAAAATACCTTGCCCTTCTTTAACCTCCGTTTTCTCAGACCTTTTACTTTTTTTACTCATTTTGGCATCGGGAACATGATAAACCCTTGCTCGAGCATTTACAAACATTGAGGTACTGGAGTCAAGAAACAGCCAACCTAATACGAGAGGGACACAAACAAAAGACTTCAATTTACAATGAACTTTAAATAGTCTCTGATGGTCATATAATTTACATAAATTGGCTGCCATCTTGTTTTTCTACTAACCAGATCCTTTCCAACTCTATGAGGGGACTTCAAAAAGTCCACAGGAGAAAAAACAAAACCATTACCTCCTCATCTGTTTTTCAATGAACTTTTTGAAAACCTTCTCACTAATGGGCTAGACTGCTTTTCAAAGTGTGCTCCACAGACCCCAAGGGGGTCTGCAATGTTAAAATTATTTCCATAATAACGTTAAGAATTATTTGCATGTCTCTACTATGTTGACCTTTCCCATGATGATACAAAAACAACGGTTGGTAACCCTGTTCGTGTTCTTAACACCGATCAGGGCAGTCAATGTATTCTTCAGTGCCAGGTGTGTGTAGGTCCAAAAGCAGGCCAGATTCACTTATAAATCTTTAACCTCGAGCATATGTCTTTCTAATATTTCATGTGAAAGCATGGGAAGTATATTCAGGTCCTTCAGCTCGATACCAAATTTCACTGTATAAATCTTCAACCTCGAGCATATATCTTTTTAATATTTCATGTGACAACATGGCAAGTCTATCCAGGCCCTTCTGCTGGAGACCAAAGTTCACTGGTTGACTGGAGGAAGGGCACTTGTGTGATTGTCGGAGTTGTGCTGAACCTGGATACTTTTTTCATGAAACACCATTTTTACTTAAAGAACAAGTAACAGAAAAACAATGGTTATTCAAATTTGGGTATTTACAAGCTCTTTTCCTGAAAATGAACAAAACCGAGCATTTCAATTCAAGAAATACAACTGACAACATTTGCTGCCAATGATGAAGGTCTAGCTTTCAAGGAAAAATATGAATTTTGAAAAGCTCACTTCTGTCACTGTGTTTTTGGCAGTTCTCCACTACTTAGGAACGTTCCTGATAAGCTTAGTGATGACAATAACGTGCAATTTTTTATGTTAATAATGTAACTAGTCAACATATAAAGGAGCTGTAAAACTCAACGAACCAATCAATCTCTTTCCAAATGATCAACGTGTGATGTTACATAATCATATAAGGATAAAAGGTATGACCATATTGCAAGATAAGACTATTGGAATTTTAATGTAATAAGAGAAAAAGTTCACTGACAGCCTTTTAGATTCCACATTACAATCAGTAAGAACTTAGCAAAGTTTGGTTTCGTATCAAAGAACATCCACAATTATTAGAAAAGGGTCCTGAGACTCTCCTTTTCTAACCACAGACATGTGTCCAAGGCCAGGCTGTCTTACATCCCTCCACCAAAATAACATATTCTAATTCACCGAGTTCAGAAGCAGATTTGAGATCAATTGTCTTCTATTAAGCCAGACATTCAAGAGATTTGTAAAAATGTAAAATAATGCCACTCTTCTTCATAATTTTTCTGTCTCAGTATCTTTCATAAAAATGTGATTCTTTATTGACAGGGGATAGGTTTATCATTACTAATTTTAAATGAATTAACATTTTCTAATATTTATTTCCTAATATGACCAATAAGTGTAACTCACATCACTAAAGATCTCTGGGCCCTGATTATAACAATGTGAAGGGAACCCAAATGTAGAGAATCAGAGGTTAAATTCGTCTTTCTCCTTATGATTTCCCTACAAGCCTCTTTTTCTCCTCAGTGCTTATCACTCTACCTGATGAAGCCTCGTACTCCTTTGCTATTTCTTTAAGGAAGATGCATTTTAGGTTAACAACTACACTTGTACAATGCAACCTCTTCCTAGGCTGGGAGACTGCCTGTACTACACAGGCAGTGTGGTATGGGAATGGATGTGAATATTTATTATTATGCAGATGTTAAGTAGGCAGTTAATTCATTATCAATAAGGTCTACATCTTTCTGCTATGAACACAAACATAATTTGAAGTCTTAGTATAACATGCAGTTGAATATAGTACTCCTCATACCCAATTCCTCAAGAAAATCCAACACTATATTCAAATCAGTTTCTACAATCTTTTTATTTTTATCTCCTACCTGAATTCTGACCGAAAGCCTTTTCAGATGCTCTCAAAGACTCCAGAAGGTTAAGAAATGTGACGCAATCATACTGACAGAGATATTGCAGCAAAGTCCGCAATATCTTCAAGTCTTGAACCAAGGACTTTGTTTTGGCTCCAAGCTGGTGCCACAAAGGATCCAAGTAGTGGCGGATTGTCTACAACAAGAACAGAATTTAGTGCTGGGAAGACACATTCAATATGAAACACAAAACCCTCTGTCACTGAGTCCATTCCAACTCACAGCAAGTCCATAAAGGGTTTCTGAGAACGTGAACGTTTATAGAAGCTCACAGCCTTATCTGGCTCCCGTGGAGCAGTGGTGGTTTGGTCTGAGGACCTTATGGTCATCAGTCCAATGCCTCGCCTACAACAGCACCTCCAGAGTTCCTTAGTGTCCACGATAGCGATTCTTAATGCAAATGGTACTTCTAGAAACGATTCCGAAAATTTCGGTTTATCAGATCCTAATAAAGATGCTTAATTTTTCAAATGCAAAACAGTCTTACTCCTAGAATGTTTTGTGAGCTAAACCAAAATAACAAAGATCAAAACTACTGCCATTAATTTTGAATCATAGGAAACAGTAGAACGGCCTCCTTAAGTTTCTCAGGCTATAAATCTTTATGGGAGCAGAAACTTTCATCTCTCTCCCAAAGGGTGGCTGGTGTCATCAAACTGCTGACCTTGCACTAAGCAGCCCAACTTAACTTATCACACCAAGAAGCTTCTGATTTTGGATCACGCTCATGTTGTTCTTGTTAGGTGCCATTCACTTGGTTCTGACCATTCTGAATTAGACAATCATACAGTTTACTCAGGCGGGGATGGCAAATTCAAGAGAAATGATGTTGTATTCATGGTCAAAAGGACATCTGAAGGTCGTTCTTAAAGTACGATTCTGTGATAGGATAATAGCTATCTGCATACAAAGAAATCCACTCAATAAAACTATTATTCAAATTTATGTGCCAACTACTAAAGCCAGTGCTGAAGAAATTGAAAATTTTTTACCAATATCTTCAATCTGAAATGGATTGAACATGCAATCAAGATGCACTGATAATTATTGGTGATTGGAATGCAAAAGTTGGAGATAAGGAAGAAGAAATAGTGGTTGGAAAATATGGCCTTGGTGGTAGAAACGAAGTTAGAGATCATACGATAGAATTTTACAAGACCAATGGTTTGTTGACCACAAACATCGTTTTCAACAACACATAAGGCAGCTGTACATATAGATGTCTCTAGATGGAATACACCGAAATCAAGTTGCCTACCTTTGTGAGAAAAGATGGTAAGAAACTCAATATTAGGAGCTAAAACCAGGGCATACCATCAATTGCTCAGATATCAGTTCAGGTTGAAGCTGAAGAAAATTAAAACAAGTCTCTGAGAGCCAAAATATGACCTTGAGTCTACCCCACCTGAATTTCAAGAATATCTCAAGAACAGATTTGACGCATGGAACACTAATGACCGAAGAGCTGATGACTTTGGATCATGCTCATGTTGTTCTTGTTAAGTGCCATCCTCCTGGTTCTGACCATTCTGAATTAGACAACCATATGGTTTGCTAAGGCAGGAATGCCAAATTCAAGAGAAATGAAGAAAGCAAAAGGCCATTAAAAAGACAGGAAAGAAAGAACAGCTCAGAAGAGAATCTGAAAATTGCTCTTAATTGTAGGGTAGCTAAAGAAATGGAAGAAACAATAAAGTAAAAGCTGAACAGAAAATTTGTAAGGCCATCTGAAGACAAAAGAAGATAAAATGAATTGTGCAAAGATCTAGAACTATAAAACCAAAAGGGAAAGCCATGTTCATTTAATCTGAAGGAGCTCAAGAAAAAATTCAAGCCTTGAGTTGCAATCTTGAAAGATTTGATGGGCAAATATTGAATGATCCCGGAAACATCAAAAGGAGATGGAGAGAAATCACAGTCACTGTTAACAAAAAGAACTGGTTCCACCATTTCAGGAGGTAGCATGTGAGAAAGAACCAGTGATGCTGAAAGAAGTTCAAACTGTACGGAAAGCATTAGCTGAAAAACAAGACTCCAGGAATTGATGGAATGAATACCAATCGAAATGTTTCAACAAGCTGATGAAGCACTGGAAGCAGTAGATACTCAAGTATAAGCAGACCCGACTATCATCCAAGGCACCTAATTTTACCACAAAAACTGCATTAAAAATGTGCTGGAAAAACTCAGCTTATACAAGAGTATATACGGTACTAGTGTACGCTAGGAAATTTGGAAGACACTACTTGCCCTACTCACTGGAAGAGATCTGCATTTGTGCTCAAATCAAAGAAAGGTGCTCATATTATAGAGCAATATTATTGGTATCGCACGCAAATAAAATGTTGCTGAAGATTAGTGAGTAGCGGTTGAAGCAGTGCATTGGTAGGGAGTTGCCAGAGGTTCAGGCTGGATTCTGAGGAAGACGTGGAACAAGGGTATCACTGCTGCTGTCAGAGGGCTCTGGGCTGTAAACAGAGAACACCAGAAGATGCTCACTTGTGTTTTATTGACTAAGCCAAGGCACTGTGTGGATGGTAACAAACCATGGGAAATCTGGAGAAGGGATTCCAGAACTCTACATTGTGCTCATGCAGAAATTGTACATGGGTACAGCAGTTGTGTGAACAGAACAAGTATTCCACTTCATAGTTTAAAATAAGGGGGCGTGTGGGTCAGGGTTGTAACCTCTCACCAGCATCAGAATTGGAGGAAGACTTATTAACAACCTTCGATATGCAGATGATACAACCTTGTATGCTTAAAGGATTGTAGTCTTCTATCTTTTTCCATTTATCATGATCTTTATTACCTATTGGTCCAGTTGTTAGGAATTTGGTCTTCTTTACATTGAGTTTCAATCCATACTGAAGTTGTCAAGGATTTTGTTTTGTTTGGATCCACAATCAATGCTCATAGAAGCAGCAGTCAAGAGATCAAATGGTGTAGTGCATTAGGTAAATCTGCTGCACAAGACCTCCTTAGAGTATTGAAAAACAAGGATGCTATTTTGACGACTAGGGTGAGACTGACCAAAGCCCTGACATTCTCCATTGCCTCGTACACATTGAAAGTTGGACACTGAATTAGGAAGGCTAAGGAAGAATCGATGTGTTTGAACGGTGGTGCTGGAGAAGAATACTGAAAGTACCATGGACTGCTACAAGGACAAACACATCTGTCTTGGAAGGAATAAGGCCAGAGTGCTCCTTAGAGGCAAAGATGGCAAGACTTCATCTTACAGAGTTTGGACATGTTGTCAGGAGAGTCCCATCCCTGGGGAAGGACAAACTTGGTAGGTAACAAGGTATGAAAGAGAGGAAGGCCCTCATTGAGATGGGTTGACATGGTGGCTGCATCAATGGGCTCAGGCCTGGGAACACTTGTTAGGGTGATGCAGGACTGTGCAGTGTGTTGCTGTGTGGTGCACAGGGTTGCCAGGGGTCAGAACTGACTTGATGGCAACTAATTACGACAGGAGTAAGAGTAGGGTGGCTATACAACTTACTGTCCAAACTAGATGGATGTGGAGATGAGAGGACACGCTCTTTGTAATTATTCCAGGGTAAGTGGCATGTGGCAGGGATATCCCGGACAAAGTTGGACACACACTGCACCAGGTGCCTGTTGAGTCAGATCATCCCCACACGGTTATGCTTCCTAAGAAAGACCCCAGTTCGGTTCACATTTAGATTTGGTTACTAAGAGAAGCCCTAGGAAAATACCTTGACGTTACCTGTCAAGGGATGATAAAAATTCCGAGTCTATACTTGGGTTTTGGTCTTTTAGAAACATACTCCATTAAAGGATATATATATATTTTGGTATCATCATATACTAAATTCTAGTAAACTGTAATGATAAAGGACTAGAAAGCATGAAATTAGTTTTTTTCTTAATAAGTATTTCATAGTAAACTGACTTTCAGAAATAAAAGAATAGCCTGAATAGAAGAATTGAAGAGCTATAATTTTCCTTTTTTATTTATTATTATTATTAATTTAAAATACTTTTATTGGGGGCTCTTACATCTATCTCATCACAATCCAAATTTTCCTTTTTTAAACACTATATTTTTCCCCTTTTATAATGGCTTACTTGCAAAGAGATTATTCAGAGTTTGAAAGAAAGGAACTTACACTTATCAAAATGTGAAAGAAAAATAAAATAGGCTGGAATTTTCAAAAAGGTAAGCATTTCCTGACACTACATTAAATTGTGGACATTTACCTATCTGTATGACTATTATCCAATAATGGAAAAATAATATCAGTGAGAATAAAACTTCCTTGAACTGAATTTTTAACCATTTTTTCAGTTCATGAAGTAATTTTAAGAAAGAGCTAGTTTTACATTCCTCAGTAGTGATAACTCATCTAAATTATTTTTACTTTTTTTCCTTATACTTAGTTAATTGCTTACTGCATTATTACAAATCAGTTATGCTCCTATGTCAATCTATATATTTTACTAAAACGATTACTTTTTAGCAAGCCAGAGCATCTTTAAATTTAAATAACTTCCAACTTCCATAACAGTAACTTTTTATTAAGAACACTGCAAATATTAAAATAACTTCACATGATTTAAAATGATATCATAACAAGCTTGGCTGAAAATGGAAGAGTACCTTTTCAAAAGGTTTTCCGATGGCATTTTCTAAAGACAAGTCTTCTACTTCAAGCGATGGATTGTGACCCTTCAGTTCCTTGAGACAAGCATTTAAAATGTCCAGCACAGCAGTTTGTATGGCAAGCATGGCAGGCGTCATAGAAACATGAATTTCCACAACTTCGGGTTTGTGCTGGTCTAAAAAGGAGTTGACTGCTACATGGAACCTAAAGAGACAAAAGAGTTTTCAAGCGCATTCTGGAGTTTCAACAGTCATGCCTTTCTGGTCTCAGTTAGATTTTTAAAATGGTTTCTGTACATGAAATTAAGAAACAAAATAGAAAGCAAAGAGACAATGGCCCCAAGAGTAAGTTAACTTTACTTCTCAATTCTTTACTCCCTGGTGCTTTACAGAAAAGGTTTGCTGCTCCCAAAATAAGGTTTAATCAAGACAGGAAAAAATAACCTACAGCATCAATCCTGAAGTTACAGAAGCAAAATGCATTTTAGTGTAAGATACAAAAATACTTGAAAATGGATACCATACATTTTCCCCCTAGAAGTTTAAATAAAGTCCTCCAAGACTTCATACTTGATTTCCTGAAGGGAAATTCGCAAAGGAGAAGTGGGAGTCAGCGCCAGTAAACCTGCAGGTTCCCTCCAGCTGTTGGGTGTGTGGGTCTCCAGAGCCCCGAGGGCAAAGCTAAATGAACAGGACAGAATGAAGCGGCCAGCTTGGATCCGTGTGACGGACTACCGGAAGAGAGCTATCGAATGGCTCTCTACTTTCCAGGGGGAACAGCAAAAAACAAAACAAAACTCCTAATAAGAATCACAACGAAGGTGATTTTTGTGTTTATATTAGGATGCACCTGTTAGAACCTGACTTGCCCCCACTGAATGTACAAGTAAACAACCAATTATAGTAGGTGCTTTCCGAGAAACCACTTTTCCCATGCTACTGACCACTGACCTTGGCCACAGATACAGCTTCCTTACGAAAAGATTCCTCATTACTCTTTCCACATGACAAAAGCCCGTGTCAAAGGCAACTGCGTTGTCCGTGAAGGCTTTAATGAAGCCACGCTTGTTTTTCTGTCGAAAGAGGCGCAAGATGAATGCTTCTTGACAAGACTCTATTATTCTGTGTGCTCGATATACCAAGATGCCTGGAGGGAAAATGTGTAAGGGAAATTAAAGAACAGACAGAGAATTCTCACGTTTCCCTTCTTTCAACCAACCAACCAACCAACCCATGTTTCCTACATGGCTCCTCGAGTATGGGCAGGCGCCATTCGATGCTGGAGACATGGCCACCAAGCACAGAAAGGACTTCAATTCCTGGAAATGTATAGCCCACATTCAGTACGTTAGAAGGTGACACGTACTGAGGAGAAACTGATCACAGAAGGAGTGGGATAGGTGGGAGGAGGTTATTTGTGATCTCCGTCAGGGAGACCGCACAGAGGTGAGGTGTGAGTAAAAGCTGGACCGAGCTTTTGGACAACTGGACACCGAGAGCTCCTGGCTGAGAACATGACTAAGAAAGGCCTGGGGGTGGGGTGGGGGTCTGGCATGTCGGAGGAGGAGTATCTGTTAGTGAAGTGGATCACTCATTTTCCATACGTATATTTTAGAAGGGCAACGTCTGCACCATCTACTTGATTAATTCACTGCCCGGGATCAGAGCATATTCAATTACAAGGTATCTTCACTCATTTAAAACAAAAACAACAACAGGATGATCACTGCTGACATACACTGATTTGACAAACGCTATTTCTGTACAGGTATTTTTCTATGATGCAAATACTCATGTATCTGTAAACAAAATGAATCTCTCTACCACATTTCTTTGAAGAGGGATGCTAATGATATCGCTGAAGCACATACACAAACAATGAGAATTCACACATAGGAAGCGTCCCTATTTATAAAATGCGAGCACTGGACTAGATCAAGTGTTTACACTTTGTCTAGGTCTGTAGGTGATAGAGTATGGCTCCTGCCTTGAGGGAGCTACACGTCTCGGGAGAGACACAGAAGCAAACGCTGTGACAGAATGTGACCAGTGGTAAGTTAAGGACAAACAGGGCACCATAAAGGTGCACAGATCCCCCTTTCCATCAACAATCCAATTATTCTATGATAATGACGCTCAGCCCTTCAGCCTTAAAGCTAGACAGTTACCTTGCTTTAAGTGTACTTGTGGGTTCTCTATTTGCTATAAATGTACTTGCAAGTTCCCTCTCCAGTTCTCCTCACTCCTAGGATCTGAAAAATGGTATTAATAGTGGTCTATGAACTTTCTAGTAGTTCAGTCAACTCAATTTAGGTTCTCCTAATAGCAGACTTAAATGTTGGATTGAGGTGGGGGAGTTAAAATGCACTCTAGTTAAACAAATTATTCTACAGGTATGGTAAAAAAATTAAGTGTTCTTTAGGAATTGTTAGATAAAGAGTTTTCAATAGCCCACAATACACTTGCAGAATTAATGTATTACTCAGAACATGTTATTTATATAGTAGGCAGGTTTTCCCTACTTTGTTAGCCTGGATTGAAGTATTACTTAAATTAACAAAAAACAGGTCTCTAAAGAGAATGAACTCCAATAAACAAACAAACAAACAAACAAAAAGAAGTTTGCTCCAAAAGGTTAGTTATTTTTTGGGAGGGGAAACCAAAAAGGAATGAAAAAAACTACTATTCCAAGCACTGAGTTACAGTTTTTTATTGATCTCATTTTACTTAATCATCAAAATAATATTTGGGGGTAGGTATCATGTCTTGGCAAGCGGAGGAAGCACCAGAAGCACTCACTCATCTCTGCCAGGAAATTTGGGGGACAGCTACGTGGCCAACTGACTGGAAGAGACCCATATATGTAACCATCCCAAAGAAAGGTGCCCCAGCAGAATGCTCCAACTATCAATAGCACTGACATTGCACACAAGTAAAATTTCACTTAGGGTCATCCAACAACAGTTGCACCAGTACATCAACAGGGAGCTGCCAGATGTTCAGGCCTGATCCAAAAGAGGATGTGCATCAGGGATATCATTGCTAATGTCAAACGGGTCTTGGCTCAAAGCAGAGAAGACCAGAAAAATGCTTGTTTCATTGACTATGCAAAGGCATTCGACAGTGTGAAACATAATAAATTGTGGACAACACTGAGAAGAATGGGAATTCCAGAACACTTCATTGTGCTCATGAGGAACTTGTACATGGATCAAGAGACATTTGTGCGAACAGAACAAGAACTGCATGGGAAGGGAAGGTGTACATCAGGGTTGGATCTTCTCAATCTCAATCTGATATATTCAATCTGTAGGCTGAGAAAATCATCAGAGAAGCCGGATTATATGAAGAATGTGGCATCAGGATCGGAAGGTGGCTTATTAGCAAGCTTCAATATGTAGATGACACAACCTTGCTTGCTGAACGAGTAGTACTTGAAGCAACTTGCTGATCAAGATGAAGGATTGTAGTCTTCAGTATGGATAACAACTCATTGTAAAGAAGACCAAAGTCCTCACAACTGGGCCAATAGGTCATATCATGAGAAATGGAGAAAAGGTAGACGTTGTTACAGCTGTCTTTCTTGGATCTACGATCAATGCTCATGAAAGCAGCAGTGAAAAGATCAAAAGACATATTGCACTGGGTCCATCTGCTGGAAAAGACTGCTTTCGAGTATTGGTGAACAAGGATGTTACTTTGAGGACTAAGGTGTGCCTGACCCAAGCCCTGCCATTGAATAATGAAGACCGAAGGACTGATGCATTTGAACCCTGGTGTTGGCCAAACCGATTTGTGTTGGAAGACGTAAGGCCAGTGTGCTCCTTAGAGGCAAGGATGGCAAGAATTCATCTTAAATACTTCGGGCATATTATCAGGCGAGACCAGTTCCTGGAGAAGGACATTATGCTTGGTATAGTGGAGGGGCAGCGAAGAACAAAGAACGAGAAGCCGTCAGTGAGCTGGATCGACACAGTGGCTGCAGCAATGGGCCCAGGCACAGGAACCATTGTGAGGGTGGTACAGGACCGTGCAGGGTTTGTTCTGTTGTACAGAGGGTTGCTATGGGTCAGAGCCGACTCAATAGCACTTAACATCAAGACTCATGGAGCCCTGTTGGCACAGTTATCACTAGGGTCAATCACTAGGCTATTAAATGACAGGCTGGTAGCTATTCCAAGGAAGAAAGATACAGCTAGCTGCCCCCATGATGATTGACAGCTTCAGAGATCTTATGGAGTTCTACTCTGTCCTGCAGGGTCACTAGTACTGGAATGGACTAGATGGCAGTGCGTTGTGTTGTTGTTTGTTTATTATTATGACTCAGACACTTATGAAGATGGCAATGTTTGGCTCTGCATAAGTTCATCATGAATCTATACTTATTAAAGGAAGGGAAGTCACTTGACCAAGATCGCCCCGTGAACAAATGGGAAACCAAAAATTTCCAAATCGGGGGAGATGAACTCCAAAGCCATGCTCTTCCCAGTATGCACCACTACCTCAGCACTCACTTTGTAAAAAAAGACAAAGATAGAAGCACCGTAGGGTTGGGGGAGCAGTTCTGTTCCCACAGAATCATATTTGAAGTTTGATCCTTCCATCACATTTCGGATCCCATCGTGAAACGAGAGAGCTTTCACTGGCAAAGTTTTAGCCTATATCATCACTAAGCGTTTCTTTCTAGTCTGTCTTAGTCTGGAAACCTGCTCAGGATCCTAGCCACGCACAAGCTTCCAGAGTCAGTGGTGGCTGCACATGAGCTATGCTGGCTGTGAGTCCAACCCAGTTCTCTATGTGGAAGGTAAAAGTATTATCACTGACCCTCTGCTGCCTTTCCCATCTCATACTGCGCTGTGTAATTACTCATGTACACACCTGTTTCCTCTATAAATTTCTCGATGATTATCTTACAACAATTAATAATTAGTGAACACATACTCTGTACTGCCCATGATGTTAACTATTATATATATATATATGATTTCATTTCACCTTCATCCCAGGAAGAAGGTGCTATTACAATCTCCAATATACAAATGAGGAAACCGAGGCATGCAGAATTTAAGAAACTTGGCACAGACACGGCACATGCTACAGGTCAGCTCCAACTCAGAAATGGTGTAATTTAAGAGTTTGCCGTAATAGTTGTTAATCTTTCCATTTTCAGCGCTTGGGACATTCCTGCTAAGTAGATGATTCTTAATAATTATTCAATGAATGAGTGTGGAAAACAAAATCAAAACACCTGTCACGGGGTCGGTCAATTCCAACTCATAGCACCCTCGACGGTGGAACAGAGCTGCCCCATGAGGTTTCCGAGGAGATTAATCTCGATGGAAGCATACGGGTTACCTTTCTCTTTCAGAGCAGCTCGTGAATACAAATCACCCACCTTTTTGGTTAGCAGCCAAATGCACAGATTTTCCCACAATGCTGCTCAACTCCCCTCATACGGGGGTGCTGACAGGGGAGCAGGTGAACGTCTGGGAGTCAGCTATTTTCTGGAAGGGTACATGTTTCAGGGACTGTCCTGTGATTTGTTAAAGTTTTGGTGGAAGAGAGACAGGATTCCAGGGGACAGCAAATTTGAAGGACTTCACTGATGGCACTCATTTGCATTCAATTCACCCAAGCAACAGCAGCAGTAGAAGTTCAAGTGACATAACCGGTTTGGATTCACTCAGAAATGGGGGATGACCTGTAAGCTATACTTTGACATTTCATTGCTCCAGGTTGCTTTCTGCCTGACATCACTGGATGTCCTAAGGTAATGCTGACATCTAGTGGTAGTGATAGATTCAATACAATTGCCTTTCCTTATTTCAACAACTTAAAAAAATAAACATAGGCTTTAAGAAGCCACACACAGCAAAAGACTTCACAATGTCTCAAGCTGTCTCGTCATAAAAGGTCCTTGCTTTTTAGTTTTGCTATCACTTACTAAATATTTACACTACACCGGCACCAAGATAAACCATTTATTGGATCTCATGTCATCCTTACACTAACTCTAATTCATCGCGTCCATTCTGACTCAAAGTGACCCTCTACTTCAGTGGTTCTCAACCTTCCTAATGCCGTGACCCTTTAATACAGTTCCTGATATTGTGGTGACACCCCCAACCATAAAATTATTTTCATTGTTACTTCGTAACTGTAATTTTGCTACTGTTATGAATCGGGCGGCCCCTGTGAAAGGGTTGTTCGACTCCAAAGGGATTCTGATCCACAGGTTGAGAACTGCTGCCATACAGGGCTTTTGAGGCTGTAAGTCTGTATGTGAACAGACAGTTTCCAAGGAACGGCTGTCGAATACGAATCTTTAGGTTAGCAGCTCAATGCCTAGTCTATGATACAATCCCAGCTCCTTACAATCACTCTAATACGTACTTTTTCACTGTAAGAAACGAGAAAGCCGAGGCTCATAAAAGTCAAGGGCTGTGCGTGTAAGCCGTAATAAGCAGTTCCAATGGCATTGGCACTTAATGTCAGGCGGGTACGATGGCAAGGCCCAGGCCACAGATTATAACCATTATAATGCCATTAAGTATAGCAAATCTTCACCTCAGTCAGTGGGCCATGAACCAGATAAATCATTTAAGAACCCGTTCATTCATTTATTATGTATTCCTTGAGGACTTCTACGCTCGGGTTACTACGTTAGATATAGTAGGAGATAATGAATTTCAAGGGCTGTTACTGATGGATAGGTTAAAAGCTGAAGTTTACCGAGGTAGGTACTTTCAAAGATAGAACTGGGAATTGAGTTCCAAAAATTCAGCCACTGAAAACTCTATGGTATGCAGTTCTACTGTGACACACGTCGAGTTGCCCCATGATTTGAGTTTGACTTGATGGCAAGTGGTACTGGTTCTGGTACATACCCCTTAGGCTGGGACAGTGAACAACCCTTGTTATGCTTAAGAACCTTGTTAGCTAGTAAGCTAAACAGGACAAGAGAATTAATTTATATATGAAATGATAATGTGAGCACATCCATATATCCAATAATAACATTTATTTTATATAAATGTGTGTGTGTGTGTGTGTGTGTATATATATATATATATATATATATATATATAATGAATGCCATCATTAGAATGGGCAGGGCATTTGGGGGGCATTTGCTTGAGGAAGAACATAAAATATTTAAGGAAATATACAAAGACTATGAAGGGGCTTCAAAAGGTTCGCTGAAAAATTTCATTACCTTTTAATTGCATTTTTCAATGAACTTTTTGAAGTCCCCTAGTATGGGTAGGCATTTCCAAACTGATTAGGTTCAAGCTACTGACTTTTCAGTAGCAGCCCAATGTTTAACCTTGCACACCATCAGGCTTCTGCGGACCCTGCACATACACCAAGAAGACAAAAGAGAACAAAAAGAAGGCCTGGTTGGAATACGGCAAGCTGCACGTCAGGGTTATCTCCTTTCAGCCTACTTAATCAACCTGTATGCTGAGCAAAGAACCAGAGAAGCTGGACTATACGAAGAAGAATACAACATCCGGATTGGAGGAAGGCTTATTAGCAATCTGAAATATGTACCGGACACAGCCTTGCTCGCTGAAAGTAAAGAGGGCTTGAAGTGGCCTTCGGTATGGATTATGCCTTAACACAGAACAAAGAAAAATCCCCACAACTGGGAAAATAAGCAACATCACAAGAAATAGAAAAAGATCCAGGATGCCCAGGATTTCATTTTACTTGTATCTACAATCTACGCTTATGGAAGCAGTAGTCAGAAGGTTAAATGACTCACTGCGTCGGGCATATTTGCTGCAAAAGACCTCTTCGAAGTGTTACAAAGCAGAGATGCCACATTGAAAACTAACGTGTACCTGACCTAAGTCATGGTATTTTCAACGTCCTCTTATACTTGAGAAGGAGCCCTGGTGGCACAGTAGGTTAAGCATTGGGCTGCTAACCACAAGGTCAGTAGGTTCAAACCCACCAGCAGCTCCATGGGAGAGAGATGAGGCTTTCTGCTCCATGCTCTACATGGCCACTGAGTTGGAACTAACTCACTGAAGGTGGGCTCACATGCATGTGAAAGAAAGCAGGACAATGAATTAGGAAGATAACAGAACCAATGCCTTTGAATTATGGTGCTGACAAAAATATTAAATACCATGGACTGCCAGAAGATCAAACGAATCTGTCTAGAAATAGAGCCACAGTGCTCCTTAGAATCAAGGATGGTGAGATTTCATGTTCCGCACTTCGGACCTGCAGAAGAATATGCTCGGTAAAGTAGCAGGTAAGCAAAAAAGAGGAAGACTCTCAATAGACGGACTGACAAAGTAGTTGCGACAACGGGCTCAAATACAGCAACCACTGTGAGGTGGTGCAGGACCAGGCAGTGCTTTCTTCCGTTATACGCAGAATTGCTATGAGCTGGGGCCGACGCCAAACAACAACAATCTTTGCTGATGCACATTTCTGTCACACTTTTCTCAGCCAGAGTAAAGCAGGTGGGTTCAGACCATCCATCTTTCAATTACCAGCTGAGTGCTTAACCACTGCCCCAGGGCTAAGTATGTAGTAAATACTCGTTTAGAGAAGGTCAACCGTACATTTCATTACTTACTCAGGTGACATATTTATGGACATTTACGATGAGCGGATATGTTAGGGACTAGAAACATAATTCTGAGCATCAAGATCCAGTGCTGCCCACAAAGGTATTCTACCCTGTTTCCCCAAAAGTAAGACACCCTGAAAATAAGACCTACTTACAGTTTTGCCTCTTGCTGAAATATAAGGCACCCCCGAAAATAAGACCTCCCCTGAAGCTACCGTGACTCTGGACAGTAGCGGCGGGCGCCGTCGCACAGCTCACTGTTGGCCGCAGTGCAGTCGGAGAAGACAGGAAGTGCGAGGTCTCTTTTAATAACACAATAAGCAATAAATGTGTACCGTATTCTTCTTCATGGAAAAATAAGACATCCCCTGAAAATAAGACCTAGCACATCTTTGGGAGTAAAAATTAATATAAGACATTGTCTTATTTTCGGGGAAATAGGGTAGTTTAGAATTTAGCAGAGGAGACAAAAACAAACATATGTATTTATATACAAATAATGACATTTCAAATTCTTACCAGTAATTAAATCTGATGGTATCCTGTTGGTTAAGAAATCAACCACAAGTATTCGGCTTGTTGCAAATATAACACCCCCTTGTGTGTACACTTCATAGCGACTGTTACTTGCAATTTCATTAGTTACACGTCGAGGGAGGTGGTCAACTCCGTCCAGCTTCAGCTGACTAATAAAATATTCCTAAACAAAATCAAACCTGATTAGTAAGCTGTTTAATACAGTGTAATTATTTATAATGATGAGCTTAACATGAACAGATAAACTGGGCTACCAACCAGTCTATATTTAAC